CCTGCCCACAGCCGGACCCTACTACTCGCCATATGCGCTGTACGGACAGAGACTCGCGTCAGCCTCGGCTCTGGGATACCAGTAACTCCAGCTCTGCCTCCCGCCCCGGCCTCCGCCCCTCCCCCGCCTTCCCGCCTTCCCCCCCCTCCTTCCTCCCCCAGCCGCCGCCGCCGCCGCCGCCTCTACTGCTCGTACCGCCGGGATTCCCGCCCAGACCCTGCCCACCGGACTGTGTATTTATTTACTGTAACGTTAGCTTCCAAGCTGGGAATAGAAGTGCATTAACGGCCCACACGAGTCAATGGTATGCAAAAAGTCTGTGTTCCCCAAATAATAATATTAATCACACAAATAACGACATGACCCCGCCCCTCTTCCTTTCTAATTTTTTCCCCTTAGGTAGAGGTTTTAATTTTTTATTCCTTTTCCTCTTTTTTTTTTTTTTTTTTTTTTTTTTGGTTGGTTTGGTTTTAGGGAGGAGCGGGAGAATTGGGGGTATAAGGGTTCCGTATGTTTTGTTTTCCCTTCCTGGGGAGTTTCTTGCATGAGTCTTAACTGTGGAAGCATTTCCCCCTGTCTCTTTTTCCCTCGGCCCCCTTCATCTCCTCTTGTTTCCATCCGTTAGAGGTTCTGTTTTTTTCTTTTGTACCAGTAACAGAGAGGAGGTATTTTTTTGTAACACATTCGGGGCGGAGGGTGGGGCATCTTGGTGGCAGGAGGTCCTGAGCTCTGTGGCCGGGGACTCTGCTCTGGGACTCCCCCTGGCTGCCCTGCCCCCCAGGGTCCGTGGTCTGGGCCCTGCCCCCAGAACTGGAGCCTCGCCCCCCTGCCCTGCTCCGAGCGGGGAGCCCTGACGTCCCAGCAGGCTCGCCCAGGGAGAAGCCCCCGCGGCCTCCACAGAGCCTTCCGTCCACTCTTCCCTGCCAGACTCCCTCCTGGCCCTGATCCCCGGCGTCCCTGTCCTAGAAGTTCCCGCTGGCGTAAAACGGCTCCTATTTTGCGAAGTGCTTTAAGGTCATTGTTTCTCTCTCCCCAAGGGGGGCAGTGACCCCTTCCCCTGGAGGTGGGGGTGGGGTGGGTGTTCTTGCTAGATCTCCCCAAAGCAGGCCCGGTGGCGGTGCCAGCAGACGTCACAACCTCTTAGCTCCTTGGGGCCCACACGGAGCGCAGCAGCCCCCACTCCCAGGCCTAGCCCAGCAGAGCCCCCAGAGTAAGCCGTGGGCCCCCGCAGGCCCTGCAGTGTCTGGGATGGAAGGCTCGGGCCTGGGTCTTTCCCCAGCCCCCCCTCCCTCCCAGTCTTAGCAGCCGCGCAGGGGCTACGGGCCTGTCGGGGATGCGCAGAGCCCTCCCTTGGTAAGACTTATTTTGTTAATAAATGGAATACTTGGCTATATTCACACCGTGGTGTGTGTCTCTCTTGCCTCACCCACCGTTCCACTTCCAAACACCGAAGCAGATGCCCTTCTTTTATTCTTGTTTAAAAGTCCTTATGATTTCCTTCTGTGATTTCCGTTCAAGGACAAGTTTAATGCCTTTCCTCAAGAAAGGGGGGAGAAAAAACAAAACTTCTGCCAACGCATTACAAATAACATAAAATCACCTTTTTTCCCCTCCACATGGTTATTTAGCTCTCAGCCTCACTTCAAAGGCCTTGACGTTTCCCGAGGCCAGGGCGGAGGGCGTGTGTGAATTAGGTGGACTTTCCTCTGGGCTTAGATACGAGGTGCACGGGTGGCCTGAAATGGATCCGGCACCGAGGGCTCAAGCAGAGACCCGCAGCAGCACTGCCCGGAGACCGGCGGGCGGGCGGGCAAAGACGGCGTGCCTCTGGCGCCGCCTGGTGGCAGAGAGGCGAGCGACAGGCGGAGAGGCCGCAACTGGCTGCAGCCCCGACGGCAGCTGGGCGCCGCTATCCTCTTGAGTGCGGAGGATTCCTACTCGCTGTTTCTGTGGGGGTTTTCTCCTCTTTCCTGATCCAAGGGTAAATGCACCTGCTGAGAGAGTTGCTTCCCAAAGCCTGGGGGATCCCCTCAGCCCACGAAGAGTTGTCGAACTGGGTCCTGTAGCCCAGAAACGGGGCTTGGGTTTTGCTGAGAAGGCGCGGCGATTACTCAAGACTTTGAAGCCGCCCTCGGTCGGGAGGAGCCGGCTCCTGGGCCTGGCTGTCTGCTTGAGCTCGCACGACTGACGCAGGAGTGTCGGCCGGGGCACCTGCGCTCCAGGGCCGGGCCACTTACATCCTGGCGCCGACTCGGGCCCACAGAGCCTCGCGGCCAGAGCAGGGTGTGCCCCGAGGCCGGTGTGTGCCCCGTCGGGCCGCAACTGCTCGCTCCTTGTCGGGGCCAGAACGCTGGCCGCTTGTTGGGCGCGCTGAGACACCGCCTCCACGCCCTCCTGGCTGGGCGCCCTTCAGTGGGGTCTGTCGTTGCTGTCCTGCTGTCTGCTCTGCTTTTTCTGTAAGGAGTGTGACTCAGGGAGTTCCTAGCCCGAGGCAAACTGCGCGCTTCTGAAAGGCGTGTGGCCCGAGGTCGGGTGCGGACGATGGGCCAGTTCTCCAGCCGTGCGGGTTTGGTGTCCACAACTTCGACGACAGGTTGCAGGGCAGGTTCGGCTGCAGCTCTGTGACAGCATGGGCCAGCCTGGCTCCTCTCCTCGGGCCTCGACGGGACCTGACAGAGAGCATGCGCGCGCGCGCACACACGTGTGTGTTGCCAAATCCTCAGATCTGGGCAAAATCCCGTCTCTGGGATCAGAACATCAGGATTCTTATGCAGTGTCAGTGCTGGCCGCCGTCAGACCCTGTGGTGTCCCAGGAAAGGGAGCCTGGGCCGCGGCGGCACCCCGAGGACCCGGGTCAGGGAGAGGCTGCTTGGTGTGAAAGTCCCCTGAGACTAGCTCAGGGTCTTCCTGGGGAAATAGGCATTTTCCAACTTCTGAGAGTTCAGATTGATCTTCAAAAGACTTGAAATGTGGTGGCTCGTTGCGTTATTTCTCTTTTTCTTTGTTGCTTTGTTTGCTTTTTATTTTTGCTTTCTCGTCTTCCCTTCCTCTCAAGTCCCCTCTTTCCTTCAGAGACCTCTTTTTTTTTCATGCCTGCAAAAATGGATGGAAATTGCTCCCTCTGCAGGAGAACGTAAGCTTCTCTTACATCTATGGTCTTCAGACCTTCCTACCCTAGGTGGGAAGATCTCTTACAGGGAAGGGGAAAGGAGGAAACTCAGTATCTCCCACAGCTAGCAAACTTTGTGTACCCAAAAATGCTGTTCTAATGGCTGCTCGGCCTATGCCTTGGGTGAGAGAATGCAGACTAGAAATTCCATAGACTACAGAGGTTCCTGAAACATGTATTGAAGATCTTCAGAAACCGAGAAGGGTGCTGTCAGGCCTGGTGGGATAGGCTGCCCCCAACTGCCATCACGACCCCAAAGGACAGATAACGTCACCTGGAGTCTCCAGTTCTTACCCTGAAAAGATGGTGCTCCCCATGTAAATTGGTGACATGCCTGAGGAATGTGGCTGTTTTAATGAGCTCATGGGGAGTTTGTTACTTTTAGTTGTTTAATTCCGCTTAAGGAAGTTTGCTATTTTAATAGAGATGGTTCCCCCCACCAATGACTTATTTGCATAATCATTGCATCCAGTGCCTCCTTCCTGGAGACTCACTCCTCTGGGCTGCTCCACCTCCTTCTATCCTAGCCCTCCTCCCCTCTTTCTCCTAATCTCGCCCGGGCGCCAGAAATGGGGCCCATGTTCCCAAAGCACCAGGAAGGGTGGAAGCCACAGAGCTGGAACTTGAGACGCTGGATGTTCCTGGCCCCAGGTCTTGTTTTCACACCTCTTGCCTGGTTATTTTTGTGGCCTTGTGGCAGCAGGGAGAGGAAGGGAGGAGGAGAAGGAGGGGAAAGACTGGCCCTTAGATAGAGGTTTGACTTGCATAAAACTGCACTGTTAAGTTTTCAACTTCCCCATGATGCGCCCACAAACTCATCTCCTAGGAAATCCCATAGCCCAAGGGGGTTGTGGGCCCTCCACCCTCCTGCAAGCATGGCCACCTTGCCCTGCCCAGCACACTGTGACCGTGTCTCTCAGTATATGAACTAACTCTCTCCTGATGTATGTCTGGGTTAGGGTGAAATTCGTCTTGCAATAATCCCATAGTTCTACACTTTATTAATCATTCTGTAGGGGAAGCTGCACTCCAGTTTTCTGTTTGATTTGATTTCATTCATCCTGTCTTTTTGCAAAATAGATGGTTGAGTGCATCTGATAATGTATGGTTTAATTTGGAGCACTATGGGTTTGAATTACCATTTTCATAATGTGCTGTGCATTAATGTGTTACATCATTTATAAAGAGGAATGTGCCGGGTTTCAAACTTTCTCCTGAAAGCCAAAGTCACCTAAAGGAAACAAAGCCAAATCACATCAACCCATCTTCTTACCTCCCTGCCAAAGAACCTCCTGCCTCCCCAACCCCAGTCAAATCTGCCAAAGCTCATAAAACCCAACATGAGGCTTTTGTATTCACATAATGCAGGTGGGTGTCGAGGTTTGGGGGGGAACTTGCACATGGCTGCCGGGAGCCATCAGTGGTGTACAAAGCTCCCCCTCATTCTTGCATAACAACAGCTTTGCAGCCAACCCCGTCTTGGGTTTTTTTTTTTTTTTTTTTTTTTTTTTCAGAGACCTCCAGTGGATGGCTCTCCTTCGACCCTAATCCTGCACTCCCTCCCCAATGGCTGTAATAACACCAGCTGTCTGTTACTCAAACTCTGACTGAGGAGGAAAAAGCACTGATTATCCAAATACAGTCATTAAAGGGGAAATGTGTTTTTAGGACTGTCAGAGTGATTAATGAGGGCTAGCCGTCTTTGCAAATGCACTTGTTTAGTCTAACTGGCAGCTTCTATTTTCCTATTGATTTATTGCAGCCGTTGCCGGGCCTTGGTGTGTGCGAAGTCAGGGCACTTCACAACTGCGCCCTGTTTAAACAGGAAAAGCATGTACCATTTTGTCCGGGAGGGAGGGAGCGGCCTAAAGTCTCTCCCCTCAGTTCAGTCTCCAGGGGCCCGGGACCAACAAAGAAGACATTAAAAACCTGCAGCCCTGAGAGGGAAGGAAACTGCCTCCCCTCGGCTGTCCCCAGTCACTTGGTTCCAAGGTCAGTGGAGACGCACCATGGCCTCTGGACAAAGCCCGCCCCATTGTAACGCTCAGCATGCCCACATTTTCCCCTCCCGTCCCCCAAACCCGCTGTCAGCCCCTGAGTCCAAGGACAGGAAAGGCCCCCAGCAGAGGGAGAGGCAGGGGAGGGAACGGATGAGACTAGGCGGGAGAAAAAAACAGAAGCAAAGTAACCCCCGTAGCCAGGGGTGGGAGCAGAGGGGGAAGCTTGTCATAAATTAATACAGACCAACAGCTGGTTTCAACTT